CCCCCAGCCTTTCCTCCCAGCAGAGGGGTTCCAGCCCTCGGATCATCACTGGGGCCTCCTCTGGCCCCACTCCCACAGGACCATGCCTTTCTTTTTGTCGTGGCCGAGGATGGCCGCCACGTGTGCTGGATGCTGTGTGACCGACTGGGGCCTCGCAGGCTTTTCCGTTACAGCATTTGCTCCAGATCGTCGCGCGTGTGATCCATCCCCTCGGTCGCAGGCTGTTGCTGTGCGTAATCCTCGGATTTGCGATCAGGGGGATGTGGCCCGTCGCTTCAGGGCCGGAGCGCGCGTCTCGGTGCGAGCCCGACGGTGCCGTGCTGGGGATGGAGCGGGGCAAGCAGCTGGCTCGGTCTGCTGCCGGCTGAGTCTCAGCTGCATCTCAGAGAGCACCCACCGTGCTGCAGCAAACGCGGAGTTCAGACCTCAGATAGCTTTGTTCTAAATCAGTGTGAAATGCTTCAGCTCAAGCAGTTTCAGTTCTAGATTATTTGGGGTTTTTAAAATGTTTTTATTGCCCATGTGAAACAGGACAGTTTGGAAGTGTCCCACAGGGGATCTTTTTTAGTTTGTTTTTTTCTCCCCTTCATAAATTTTTCCCTCCCTTAATTTTTCTTTTTCCGCTGGGATGTTTTGGGTCAGGTTTGGTGGAAGGAGCCCGCCAGCCTGGCACAGTGCTGATCCAGTGCTGCCCTGCTCGTATACGCGAGGCCAGGCGGAGAAGCCCTCCCTGGATTTTGCTGACCACCTGCCTTAGCCTGCACCTTCAGTCCAAGGCTGTGCAGATCTTTAGGGACCTTCAGGTTTGCTTTCCTGGGGGACTGCTGGTCGTCCTGATGCTGGAGGAAGGCTGTGTGTTTCCTTTCACGCTGCTGCCCTCGTGATCCTCCTGACTGGTGCTGTGGGGTTACTGGTGTGGCACAGCTGGTGCGGCTGTGAGCGAGGTGGGCATTTGCTTGCATCCCGGGGAGCGAGTAGCTCAAGCCAGCTGGGTGGTGATGTGTGTCTCATGGTCTTAGCTCCTCTGCCCAGCGGGGTGTACTCGCTGCCCCCCCCCAGCCTCTCGTGGTGGTCCCCGCTGCTGTCTGGTGGTACTGGTTCAGCCCTGGGTGGCTGTGGCGTGGGGACTTCCAGAGCCTGTCCGGCCTGTGTCCATCTGTGGTGGGTTTTAAACGTGGCTGGGAATCACTGGAGTGTGGCTCAGCGGTGCTGTCCCTGGCTGTGCGAGTGACGGCGAGTACACCCGTGCCAAGGGCTTGGCTTTGCTCAGACACTGCAAGTTATCTTGCTTCGCGAGAGGCTCATCGTTTCTGTGGAAAAGCCAGGACTGAGCTTGCTCGGGGGACAAATTGGCCAAGCGAGAGGTGTTTCCTTGCAGAGCGGTGAATCGGGTCCCTGTGCTGGTTGAGCTCAGCAGGACCATGCCGGTTGTTACTCCTTTTGCTGGGATAATTGCTTTCCCTCCCCCTGCCCACTGGTAGGTCTGTCACTGCTGACCCCTCCTCTGGCCTGCGGTTCCTCCTGGCCCTGGCCCGTGGCTGGTGCTCCAAGGCTGGGCACAGACAGAGCTGATGCTGGGGATGTGGGCTCGAGGGAGCTGAGCACCCTGACGCTGAGCTGGCCGTCGGTTTGCTGAGCCTCTGAGAGGGGAAGGCAGAGCGGGGTGGTAGGAAAGGAGGCTTTACGAGGTTTGTGTTCTGCAGGGCTGTGTGGCCGCAGCGAGCCCGGCCTGTGTACAGAGCGCAGGTTTCGCCCACACACTTCCCTCCTGCGCGCGCTTGCTGCCCCGGCGCTGGGTCCCAGTGCAGTGATGGGTCCCCCCCTGCCACCGCGAGCCTGGACCGTGCTCCTGTGGCCCTTCACTCGGGTTCTGCCCTTCGCCCGCGACGGTGCCGTGCGCTGGCACACAGCCCGCCGAGCACCCAGGGCAAGCCACGTGCTGAGGACCAGAGCAAGTAATAGTGGTGTAACCAATCCCCGAGAGCCCCTGCTTTGTGCTCCAAGTCTTTTGCGATGGGGAGTTCAGTAAAGATGCAAAGGAGCCGTTGATTGCTTGTGGTTTGTTGCAGAAGATTGTGGTTATTTTATTTGCATCACTGCACAGCTCACCCAGTGCTACCGCCTGTGCCTTTTAAATTTTAAGTTTAAACCCGTTTACGCTCCCCCCTCTATCCAAGGACCTGATGAAATTTTGCAATCCCAACAGTTCCACCTTCAGCCCAGGCTTCCCTCTAGAGAGCTGTCCTCGCCCCACTTGGAGCGGGAGGGTGGACTGCAGGTCTCCGGTGGTGGCTGTTGGTGACGTTCCTGCAGTTCCAGCAGCTCACGGGTGGGGTGTGCAGCGGGGCGGTGGCAGGGGCGGGTCA